TATTTCGACTAAAGAGCAGAAGTCATTAGCTGGGAACAAATGTTTGCTTCTCTCCTCAGTAAGTCTCTGGTGTGTATGTGCACTATGACTTCAGAGAGTGATAAGGAAAATTTTTGTTCCACAGCACTAGAGCTGAAAAAATGGCTTCAGGCTGTTTCCAAAAGCTCATAAGAAAATGAACCATGAAAAGGCAATTCTGAGTCTGTGACTACACCTAGGCACTGCAGCACTCAGGGAAGCAATGCAGGCAGCTTTTACAATGATGTTCAGCAAACTTCATGCAGAGCTGCACAGAGCAATGGGTCGTGGGAGAGAGGTCCTTCATCAAAATATAAGTAAGTCCTGAGTGAAATAAGTGCAGAAAAACCTTAAATGTTGAAGTTAGGGTCACTGGTATCTCCAACTAGTGCTGTTTCTGGTGATTTAAATAATGCAGGAATTCTGCTGACTGTAAAGAAGAGGGGATAAAATAATTGAACACTAGTGACATATGTCAAACCTCAGCTTCAACACAGGAGTAAGCTGTTATGTCCTATAATGCTGTTAATGCTTTTGTATTCTTTTATCTTCATATATGCTCAGAGCCCAGCCAGTCTGAAGCACATCATAGAATCATAGAATAGTTAGGGTTGGAAAGGACCTTAAGATCATCAAGTTCCAACCTCCCTGCCATGGGCAGGGACACCTCACAATAAACCACGCCACCCAAGGCTTTGTCCAACCCAGCCTTGAACACCACCAGGGATGAAGCATTCACATCCTCCTTGGGCAACCCATTCCAGTGCCTCACCACCCTAACAGTAAAGAACTTCTTCCTTATATCTGACCTAAACTTCACCTCTTTAAGTTTTAACCAGTTACCCCTTGTCCCATCACTACAGACCCTAATGAAGAGTCCACCCCAGCATCCCTATAGGCCCCCTTCAGATATTGGAAGATTGATAGGAGGTCTCCACGCAGCCTTCTCTTCTCCAGGCTGAACAGACCCAACTTTCTCAGCCAATCTTCATACAGGAGGTGCTCCAGTCCCCTGATCATCCTCGTGGCCCTCCTCTGCACTTGTTCCAACAGATCCATGTCCTTTTTATGTTGAGGACAACAGAACTGCACACAATACTCCAAGTGAGATCTCCCAAGAGCAGAATAGAGGGGCAGGATCACCTCCTTCAACCTGCTGGTCATGCTTCTCTTGATGCAGCCCAGGATACGGTTGGCTTTCTGGGCTGCAAGTGCACACTGCCTGCTCATGTTCATTTTCTCATCAACCAACACCCTCAAGTCCTTCTCCGCAGGGCTGCTCTGAATCTCTTCTCTGCCCAGCCTGTAGCTGTGCCTGGAATTGATCCGACCCAGGTGTACGACCTTGCACTTGTCATGGTTAAACTTCATGAGGTTGGCATCAGCCCACCTTACAAGCGTGTCAAGATCCCTCTGGATGGCATTCCTTCCCTTCAGTTTATCAGCTGAAATGTGTTGGAAATCGCTGAAATTTACAGTATATAAAACTCCCAGTATATTTCATTTGTCAAATTTAGAGTCTGTTTTGGGAAGCAGTCTGAGAATTACCTTCTTGTAGAAACTCTCCTTTATAGTGTACACTGGAAAAAAATGCAAATGGGTTCATGTAAAATGCTTCATATAGATGCACAAGCATCCTTGGAACATAGTGGAGGTCCTGTCAACTTATCTGTATCTTGGAGCCATCACTTGACACTAGAGGATCTGGGTCAGACTAGCATATAGGATGCCAAAGAGGATCTCCTGGTGTTTTTTTTTCAGGATTTGGAAGTTTGTAAGCTCTCTCCAGTGACTGGCTCTTCTTGGCTGGCACTGTCAAACAGCTATTTTTCAAACAGGCTCACCTACCTTTTCTTTAGCTTCTTGCTGCCCTTGTTGGCCCCCAACTCTAAAAACTCTAATTTCAGAAAATCAAGGGGCACTTCAGTGGAGGTGTCCTTATAAATTCAAGTCCAAAGGCTTGTGGTCCATTCTGGTCTCACCTACCCATTGCTCTGGAAAGCTGCAACACAGAAATATGTTGTGGCCAGCTTTGTGTTCAATTGTCCCTTAAACTTTTGCAGACTACTGTCTTTTTAATCAAGGATCCCAGTTTCAGTTGGCAGCCACTTTGGTCAATGAGCTTCTTTTGGGTCTGAAACTCCACAATGGGTCTTCATTGCTTCTGTGTTTAGGATTGGAGTTCTGGCATGTGGCCTCCAAACCCCAAAGTACAGTCTTTTTCATACAAAAATACTTGTAGAACTGGATCTTCAGGTGATAAAGACATTCAAACTACTTGCACGGATCCTGGCACAATCTTAAAGTTTCAAGATATAAGCACGGTATTAGTTCCCAATTGCCTTCATCATAGTTTTGGATGGGAAGCAGTGAACAAGACAAAGCAACTTGGTCCTAACACCACTGGAGTAACAAAGGTATATTAAAAATGTTCTCAGTTGCTATTATCATCCCAGATAATATTAAAGACTATAAGGTCCAAAGGAAATTACAACACACACAGGAGATAAAGCCATCTCCCTGCTTGACTGTGCTGTCTACTCTGCCATACTCAGCTATCATTCATTAAACCGTGGAATATACATTTGCTGCATGGCAGAGGCAGCAGCACTCATAGACTTGCAGAGTGTGCAAACTGTCACTTGCTACATAACCTTGTTAGTAATGACGTCTATTTAGATTACTTGCTTGGCTAAAGCAAGTCAGGCTGTAGGATCAGGAGACGAGGTTTACATCCAGAATTCTGCAAGCCCTGTGAGTCCCACATGGGGACAGAGCAACAGCATGTCTGGAAGCAGCATCTGGCCTTACTGCAGTGCTGCTCTGAGAGTTGAAATGGGTACAGTATCCACATGTAAACCTCTTATTTGTGGCAACTGTGAATGTTGATGGCCTTGCTTGCTGTATCTGGAGCCTTGGTACATACACATTAGTAATCCTGCCTTTGAGGGCATATAAAGGGATTGAAGCACAGACAGGAGGCCAGGAGCTATTCAGCCAAAATGCTATTTCTGTGTAGTGTGTCTTTGATAGGCTAAATGTTTTAGGTTTGAGCAGGGGCCCGTAGGGTGTTTGGCTGTGCAAAGGTGGGAAAGGAAGATGGCTCTTAGATTGCTCTTGAAAATCCACCAGGCTGGATCTAGTTCGGCAGAACTCATTAGCACGAAGCAAGGCATCGCTGACTGTGATGCCACACAGAGCACAGGCTGCTGTTCAGATGAAGTGGGCAGCTGGTCCTAAAAGACCAAAGACTAATACAACTGAATGATTTACTCCCCAGGCATGAAAAATACTGGCTTGGGAATAAACAGTTATTCAAACTCCAGCAGGTTTATTATGAAATAGTCATCTTGGCCAGAGAAATTAAGATCAACTTCCAGGAAAATGTGCGGGTCCTCATTTTAATTTCAAATTCTGTTTAACTACAGCACTAATTACCATTTAAATCTAAAGGCTTCTCTTCACATTTGAGAATCTTGCAAGCAGGGTTTTTAAAGCCTTTATGATTCACCTTTAAGTAGCTGGCAGTCATCATTGCATCAAAGTTTAATTTGCTCTGCTTCAGTACGAAGTCCTCACTACTTGGTTGGCAAGGCTGCTTGGGTTAATTACTGTCTACCAGGAAAAAGACAAATTAAATGTAAATAGCTAACAGGTCCAACTAAATAATGAAAGAATTGCCTCTTGCATCACACACTGGGGTTTGCATCTATTTAAGCTTAGTGTAAACATGTATAATGACATCATTTATATTTTCTCTTCTTTAAATGTGTTTGCAACATCTGCAGAAGAAACACAATAGAAGTTTTACTAAGTCCAAACTTTCATTTGCCTAAGTGTAACCCAAAGTAGCAGTCACTTTGGATGTAGCATCCCTGGAAGGTGTCAACCTGAAAAAGGAGTGGTCACCTGTCCCTGATACATCTGATGTACCAAAGCTACTGCCATGTGTGGTACATGCTTCTTACCAAAGGATGTGTGAAGTTGTGCTTGAGGAGTTGGTATGGTGACCAGTGGATTAAGAAGCAAACCAGACTGCTTGATAGGTTTGGTCCTTTGTGTGTGTCTCTTGTTTGTGAAGCATTTAGATAGATGAACAGTAACACTTTTAATTTTTCTTCATCCATGCAAGTAAATATCATGTTGTTATCTCCAAAATGTGCTATTTCTGCCCACCCCTTTTGCCTTCAAAACAGTCTGTTCTGATTTTACTATGTGCTTTACTCTCCTTCTAGCACTGAGCTGGGTCTTTCCTGCTCCATGCAAGAAGCTCTGAGAGCTGCTGCAGTTCTAGAGACGGAGGTCTCTTTAATTTCCAGTTTCATCTTGGCTTCCTAAGGTCAAGATAGGAAAACCTGTACAACAGTGCAAAAAAAGACAGAATTAATGTTATGAATAGAATGTTTAAAGTTAATAGAAAATATGGCACAGCCTTGCCTGAAATATCTTGAGACAAAACTTTGCAAAATAAAAAGTTTACTAGTGCAAAGGAAAAGCCAGAAGAAAGTTGCTTCTCACAGCCTTTTAATAAGATGTCAAAAGGAATTTTCAAAGTGCTTCATAATGTGAAAGGAAAAGAGAAAATTTAATGTAGCTGTTATGTTTGAATGAGTTTAATTTATGCCCAAATGCTAGTCTCCACCTTTCCACAGTCACTAACTTCTATAGGCTGAAAAGACACACTGAGCACTTATAAAATATTCTGTAACAAAATAGGCAATTCATTTGGAAAATGACTACGGTTCCTTCTTTTGGCACAAATTACAGAAGAATCCAGGAAATCATATTTCATTCATTTGGAGAGCATTTAAAAATTATCATATATGTGTAAATTAATATTTAAATCAATAATTAAATGCAATCAATTTTCTTTTTTCCCTTTTTAAATAATGTAACCTGCACAGAGATATAATAGCAAAATCTGCTCAATACTTCTCTCTGGCTCATAAGGCAGGTTTACGTTGAAACATGTAATGGTCAGAATGGTGGACCAGAAAAAGTATCAAAAACTTGAACTTAGCATCGGTAAGACTCACCTGGAATGTGGCCGGCATATCTCATTGTAGAGGGAATACGCAAAATTAGCAGGAATTCAAGGAAAGGGGGTAAAAAAAAAGAAGGATTCTGTCTTGAAAAGAACAGATTTGGTGACTAGAGGCTGAAAGGGTGAGGACTAATTACCTAGAAAAAGAAGCAAATGGCGTGAGAATATCAGTGTTTAGCAGGTAACAAATGGCCTGTAGAAGGCAGCACGGGAAATTCTACTTCCCCCATATCAACACTACGGCATAAGGACACTAAAATAAATTAAAAAGACAAGTGTTTTTATATGCAAAATACTGATTTCCCAGTGGAGCTTACCTCTTCAGTGAGTCAGTGAAGTTAAGAACATGTCAAGACCTAGAATTAGTGGCTAGGATCACTATTAGGAATATCCATAGTGGCTTCAATTAGTCATAACACAAATGCTGCAGAAGAGATGAAAATCCACATTTTACTACTCAAAGCAATCCTTGGTTATGAAGGTAAAACCTCATTTGTGGAGTGGGTTTTTCCCCATCTATTTATTTTAGGCTCTAGTCTTCCTTTGAGGCATCCATCATAAATTCTTGTCATCAGAAACAGTACTTCTTTATGCAAACATTGAGACTAGTTCCATGAGTTTGAGGTTTTTAAACTTAAAAAGTGCACCTTAGCATGCAAAATACCTGCAAAGTAACTCTCAGAATGTGTGAGTTACAGGGAACATTTACTTTTTATTTCTTTTCATGACTGAAGTGAATCTGCACCTTATGTTTTCTTAGCCAAGTCTTATGAAACAAGAAGTTTGCAATTTTGTACTTGTGGTAAAGTTACAGTCCACAAATTCAAACCATAACTACATTTAGAGTTTCATGGCCAGGTTGGAAGTTTATTTTGTAATCTCTGTCTGCATTATGTCCATTTCCAGTCATCCAGGAGGGCTCATTTCTAAGCCAAATGGAAACCACAATAAAACTGATTTATCTCCCACACAAGCATAACATGACTGATTTAATGTTTTGCCTTTCTCATCTGCTGAGGCTCAGAAAGCTCAGTTCAGCCATGACTTGATTTTTCCCACATTACATTAAATGAATTTTCCATAGGGTAAAAAAAATAATTTTAAGTATTACTGCGAAATATTTCAATTCAGAAAAGACTGTTTGTTTGGGCAGCTTTGGGAAAGGCGATACTTTTTGTTGTTTTGTTTGCTGTTCTGTTGGGTTTTTTTAAAAGGTGGATTCAAAGCTTCAAATCTTCCATTCCTTGAACTTGCCTCTGTTCTTCAGCCATTTAGGTCTTAAGAAAAATGGTAAGGAAACAAAGTAAGAGGAGGTGAGTTAAAAATTGAACTACTTGACATATCTGAGCTGCTTCCCCCAGACAGCGGCTGTCACTACTGCAGTTTTTTGGGTGCAGCACAGCTGGCCATCCTTCTCTTCTAATTTCTGTGAGATGGTGCAAACTCCCAGTATGAAGGAGCAGCCAGAAGCAGATGTGGGACATGCCCCCACCCCAGCAAAAGTGTTTTGCAGTGCAGGGACCCCATTTAGGGCAAGGGACATCATCACAATGGGGTTTTCAGGAGGAAGATTATGAGCTTTCAGTACCCAAGCTCTAGTGAAGCTCCTCACTGCCTGCATGTTTTGCCACCTTATGCTCACCATAAACAGAATTTTTACTATAAAAATATCTTTCCTCCCTATGCAGAGAGGGATGGCTGTATGTAATTTCCTTTTCTTTCCTAGGTGTGTGCTTCCCAGCTTTACTGTGCAATTTTTCCAGCACTGTTTTGAACATTTCCAGATTCTTGTTAATAGCTTTCCTTCAGTTCTTGCTCCCAATTAACCTTTCATACTTCCTTTAATCCAGTAAACTGCACTTTCCACAATTTACATTTTTTATCTTACTAATTGAGTTTTTTCATCTCCATCTTTTGATTTCAAATCTAATTATATTGTTATTGCTGGTGTAAAACCAGTAGGTTATTGATAACTCTGTTCATTACTAAATTAAACTCTGCCTTACCATTGTTCATTGCTTTGCACTCTGATGTAGAAATCAACCTTCGCTCAGTTCTTGAATCCTTTCCACTGTTTCCCAAGGCTCAATTTACTAACTATCTTGTGGTAAATCATTCTGCCCAGCCCTTCTTCAATAAAGAAATTCAGCTGTGGCTTTGTCCAGGCTTTATTAAAAATACATGACAAGCAGTGAGGGATTATCTTACCACTCTGTGAAAGGTTCAAGTGTTCCCAAGAAAAGCTGTATATATATTATGAGGGAATAGAAGAAATGTTTTTCCAAGAACCTTCAAAATCTTAGAATAAATGCACAATTTCTTTAGTGCTTGTGGCACAAACATCCTTCAAACACACTTGTATACATGTTATCTTTCGTGTCACAGAGTAAAACAAAATTAGCATATTATATATTCTTATGCCTACAAAATATGAGAGCTGTTGCATATTCTTTCTCCAACCTGTGCCTTAGATGAATAAAATAAATGCTAATTCACAAGTTGGCAGAGATGACTCTATGACAAAAAAAAAAAAAAAATTGGGTGGGGTTTTTTGCTAGAAGACAAAGTTGATCACAAGATTTTTCTTATAATGATCAGTATTCTGCATAGCATAGACAAGTAACTGCTATATATAAGAAAGGGCTATTTCCAGGGGAGAAAATTAAAACACAACTATCAGAATAAACCTAAGACTAGACACAACTCACAAGACACACACCAGTATTTGACTCTATATAGGTGATCTGAAGAGTATGAGTATGGGAAATCTCTTCCACATGTGTTGGCTGTCAGTGGATTTTCCCACTCAAATGAGTTAATGTGAGGTGATAGCTATTTCATTTTCCTCTCAGATCTCAATAAGAGCATTTGCAGGATTAATTTCTTTCAAAGCTTACAAGGCAGGTAGCTATTTCACCACATTGTGGAATAACGTTTTATATCAAGCATTGAAATATTCCTTTTTCTGTATTCCTGCTTGTAGTTTACCAAGTTTCCAAGCCAACAAATCATCATCATCTGATGCTGGTAAATACCAGATTTCTGGAGACCCTTTGTCACCAAGTAATAATCTGAATTGAATTAAATTATAAACTGTCTTGGAAATCCAACTCAGGTAATTTCTAATCAGGGCAATATTGCAAAGGCTGCACCAGATGACCTGACACATCCTTCTTTCACAGTTATTAACTCATCCCAGATTGCATATAGGTAGCTTTTGCTACAGGAGACAAAGGCCCTTGCTCAGAACAAGTGCAAATCATGTGTGGAAAGCAGTCCAGATGAAAGTGAGGGTCATCTCACTTCTACATCACAAAAGAGAAGAATTTTTAAAAATGTACAGATACTCAGTTACTAATGGTAGAGGGCCATGGAAGTTCATCCAGAGCTCTGAAGGGCAATAATGTACGGAATAAGAAGTAAAGTTAGGTATCAGCTGCATAGGAATGAAATTGAAATGGACATTTATGTTACAGAAGAAAATGACTAATGGAATGATCAGACAAAAAGATCAAAAGCAAGGAGGGCAACTGCAGGAAAATTATTTCTAGCAATTACTGGATAAGACAGGAATGGAGGTTTCTCATGACAAGAACATAAAGCCAGTCTTGCTAATCTTTCAGAGAAGAATATAGAGAAGACACAGTGGGCCAGTGTCAAATATAGTGTAATTTTACTGAAATCACCTGAGAAATTCAAGAGACTGATATAGTCCTTTGAGTTCAAAGTTGTACAATTTCACCTTGGTCAATAATTAATCACATTGAGTTTTACTGGCAATTTGTATAGTATCTTGGCATAACATTGTGACACTAGGAAATATTGTGTTGCTTATGGGATTATAGAAAAAGTTTACAACTTCTTTCTATGCCTAGCATAGTCCCTTTGCTACAAGCTTCGGAAATGCAGGCATCAAGTTGTTATCCTTACTGAGTGTTTAAACAAGCCCAAACAATTGAATAGCCTGCTTTGCCTGTTCCTAGGCAGAACAAGGTTTTAAGTCCTGCCTTTCCCTTTCTCCCTTTTTTCCTTGCAATAAATTGAGTTTTGTTTTTGGCTTGGTTTTTGTTGCTGGTGGTGGTTTTGGGTGTTTTGGTTTTTTTTGCACACTTCCTTCCTGCTCACCTCAGGACTGATAGATGCACAATACTACAGATGAAGTGGGTTTGTCCCTTGTGCATTCCCATGCAAACTGCAGTGCAAAGAGGCAGACTGAACCTCTTCTCCATCTTCAGATATTCTCTCAGGGAGAGTTGCTCTCCAGATGAACTTGAGTGACCTTGGTCTGGGTTTAAGAATTACATGGGGTTTCTTTGGCTGGTTTTTGGTGTTTGGTTTGTTTTTTTTTGGGGGGGAGTGGGGGTGTGGGAGTGGAGGATATAGAGCACAATTAAAACTAATGAGCATTCCCCAGTCTTTGATAAAATACAGTTTAGATCCTCTGCTGGAATGAACTCAGGGACATCTCAGACTTCAGGGAAACTTTACCCATTTGCACCTGCTCAGCTTCTGTGGCTTGAAAACCTCCTAAGTCCTTTGCTATCACGATGCATATTTTGGGAACACTTAAGGTGTATTGCCATTTAAAGGAGTGCCATCACACATAATTTTCATCTTCTTTAAATTCCCTGATGCTTTGCTATGATAAAACTAAATGCCTGAATACACTTATGGAATATTCTGGTTTCTTAAGATAATTCAGAAATCGTGTAGCTAAATGTGATGTGGTTACATGTGATTTGCTATTCCCTGTATTACACATATACTGCAGGATATACTATGGTATGGTAAAACTTTAAAATCCTATTTTTGATTGACTGAAATCAACATTCATCCCACTAATTTAATGTGAATTTTGATACTTATTTCCTGGCAGCTCAAGTCTTCCATTTGACAATCCCCTGTCCCGCAGCAATGACTAAGGACCATTTCTCTGCCCCTGAAGCCTGGAAAGAATTAACTTCATCAATCAGCATCTCTC